TGGGGTGGGGCATGTGAGCCTTGCAGGGGTGGTGGTAGCCCCTGCAGGGGCCATTTGGCCCCTGTTAGTGGGCCATAGCCTCTGTGTGGGGACTGTAACCCCTGTTGGGGAGTTGTAGCCTTCTGTGGGGGCCATAGCCCCTGTTGGGGGCCATAACCTCTGTTGGGGAGCCATAGCCCTTGTGTGGGGGCCATAAGCCCTTTTGGGGGCCATAGCCTCTGTTGGGGAGCCGTAGCCCCTGTGTGGGGGCCATAGCCCCTGTGAGAGGGCAGCAAAATATATATTCATGTTTCATGAATTCATGAAACCTGCATTTAGACTTCACTTTATTATTATGATAGAGACATTGGTAGGCTTCCACATTGCTTTAACACTGTAGATATATCAATAAAATAGTGCCCAAATGATCAGTGTCTCTATCTCATTCTCTCTCTCTTTATAGTAGTCTTTTGTTTTAATTGTGGAGGAACATGGATTTTGGGGTATTTTACAGAGTGACTTTGGGATTTTTTTTATCAGGGATTTTTCTGTTTTCCAATACGGAACACCAGAATTCCTGCTAGGAAGGCCAGTGGCAGAACCCTGCCTGCTCAGAGCTTGCCTTGGACCCATCTGACTGTGGCTGACCTCCTGGCCAAATGGGGCCAGGAGGACATACTTTGACAGTTCATAGCAGGCCACCACACCCAGAACATCTTCCGGGCAATATCTGCCCAGATGCCCAGGCAGGGGTCACACATGGCAGTAGTGCTGCACTGAGGCCAACTGTGCAGCCACAGCCCACTGGCAGCTGACCCAGAGGGGCAGATGCCTCTACTGGCTTTGCAGTCCCCATCCAGGTCTGGCAGGTGTGCAGCAGCCCCCACTGCGAGACTGCTGTAGCAGGTAAAGGGTGCAGGGAACTCTCAGGGCTCCTTCAGCAGTCCAGCTGGCACAAAGGGTAGTGTCCCTAGGTACTAATTGGCTGGGCCCAAGAAGCTCCTGAGAGCGAGTAACCCTGAGCTACTTGCCAGGGAAGATTTTTGTACTGATGGGGCCAGGAGAGGGCAGCTTTTTATACTCCTGGGGACAGCACAGGTGCTGGCCCCAGACTCTAGCTCCCCCTGGCTGCAGATCCAGGAAGAGCCAGGCAGGGTTATTTTGCTCCAAGTGGCACAATTTGCTCCTCAATAAAGTGCATGTTCAAACATGTGCACTGAGGCAAAAATCCCAGGCTCAAATTTGCACTGCTTTTATTTGAGCTGCTGCAAAAGCACATGCTTGCATGTGTGGATGTGCCCAGTGAGTTTAAACCACACTGTCTTGTTGCCTCAGGGACCAGTGAATTTCAGAAGAGAGTAGGTTTGGTTTGGATAAGCATTTAGAAGTTCAAGTGTTTCACTAAAGGAATAAGCCAGGAGCCAGAGTGTATCTGCTTAGGTGGGAAAGCCAGGCCTATAGTCCTCTTCTCTTGTTACACATCTCTTTGTTGAGATGATATTTACCAGTTCCCTTAAAATAATGAGTTGAGAATATACAGAATAACACTAAAACCTGTACAGGGCAGTGAAAGGAGAATGGATTAAAGGGCACTGGAAAACTGCCTTCAGCTATCTAGAGATGTTTACTCAGAGCTGGCCCAAAAAGAAGGAAGAGCCTCTTGAAACTGTCAGGGAGAGATTGAGAGGAGGAGGCAGGGCAGCGGCCACACAGAATATCAAAGAAAGGTAATTATTATGTTTCTCCTTTGCACCATGCTATGCTAACCCAGCTCCTGGTGTGAGGGAAGTCAACCCAATCCGAACAGAAGTTTGAAGTAGATCACACTTGCACCAATTTTTACATGGATATAATTCCATTGAATTTCAAAGAGTTGCCTTGGCCTATCCCAGAGTGAGAGCAGGAGCTGCCTCTCATAGCTCATACCAAGAGTGATGGGAAAGATTTGGATTGTTTGCCTGACAAGAAATGATTTAAAGGCACTATGATGACACTACATGGAATGATGAATGGCTCAGAGAAGGCAGGTAGGTGTCTGTCTCCATTTTCTCCAAGAACAAGAGGACATTTGATGAAAATAAAAGGTAGAGAATTAAAACCTGATGATTTTTTTTTCTCTCAGTGAATAAATAGTCTGTGGAACTCACTGCTGCACAGGCCAAGAATTTAGTAAGCTTCAAAAAGATTTTGGATATTCATATAGATAACAAGAATTTTAAAAACAGCCGTAATAGTTAATTGCAATCAAAGGATACTAGGAGGGATAAACATGTTGGCCATGTACAAACATTACACTTTACCAGTATAAGTGATAGAAAACTGATCTATACTCATAACAGAACAGACACACACAGACTGGCTTAAAAATGAAAGAACTCAGTCTAAGATTTCCCCCCCTCCACCCTCCCGCCCCACAAAGTGTGAATTTGTGTTCTATTTGCTACCAATCACAACTATGCTACTTATAGAAAACTTCATAACTCAGATCAATTCCATCTCAGGCTTTCTGAATGTTTGTACCTAGCTTTTATGTGCCAGGGCATCAGCCAATTACTCTTAGAGGCTCAGATGACACCTACTCGGGATATGAGAAGCTGACTGTGCAGTCGTTACTCTTGTATAAAGAAGTACTAAATGACTACACAGTTACTGAAGTTACTGTGCAGTGGGTGCATCTACACAAGTTGCTTCGGTGCAGTAGCAACAAGTTACTGCACAGAGCCCCCCACGTGGTGTGGGGCAGTGAAGGACAGTGGGGATCACCCCCCTGCCTAGCAGCAGCTGGTAACTAGGGGCTTTTTTTAAAGAGCCGAGAGCTGGGGCCAGGCAGGGCAGCCATGGGAAGACTGGAACAGTGGGTGGGGGGGCACTAAGGGAAGTGGGGGGAGCAGGCAGGGGATAGGGCGTGGCAGGGGTCCCCTTATGGCCCTCTACCCCCTCCCCCTCCCCCTACTTACCAGCATGGAGTCCAGGTCCAGCTACCTGCGGCATTAAGCGGGGACTGCCTGAATCGCCAAAGCTCTCCGAATCTTTTCCAAATCTATTCAGAGAGCTTTGAATTGATTTAGACCTTTTAATTGGTCTCCTGATTCGATTTGGATTCAGAGATTCAGCCACCAAATCGGGCCAGATCTCCTCCGAATCGAATCAGCACCTGGAGGTTCTCGAAGCACTACTGTGCAGTAGCTCATTGCTACTGCACAGTAGCATTGGGAAAAAAATCATGCAGCAACCATACTGCACAGTAACACCTGTTACTGCGCAGTCATTTAGTATTTGTTTATGCATAAGCTTATGCATAAGCAAGTACTAAATGACTGTGCAGTAACAACAGCGTATAGACGTGGCCAGTAGTACTGATTAATGGCTTTTTCATATCACTGACTGTACAGTATCCTGAGATTACTGTGCAGTAGCATCATGTCATGTTTTCTGCCACATGACAGTACTGCACAGTAGTCTTGTGCTACTGTGCAGTCAGAGTCTCGTGTAGACGTGGCCAGGGTGGGTTTTCCTACATCTACCTACCACAGGTTCTTAAACCTTCCTCTCAAGCAGCTGCTGTCAGATGCTGTTGAAAACGGGACATTAGATTAAACAGACCTGGTCTAATGTTTTCTGCCTTTCTGTCCTTCAGAATTGGCTTGATCTGACAGATGGTGGATTATAATCACATTGGTCAGACAGTGCTTTAGCAACAATAAACAATTAGTTTATTTAACTACATACAGTATTAGCTAATCATTGTCTCAGGAATAACCACTGGACAGCCAGAGAAGATGAATTGCAATAATGATAACAATAAACTAATAATGATAATTTATCAGAGTTTCCCCTGTTTTGTTTCTACAGCAGTTATGACTTTGACTATGAATACTACAGAGATGACTTCTATGACAGGTAAGCAGAGGAGATAATGGTTAACAGAGCTTTATTCTGTGCATGCTGCTTTACATGAATTACAACCCCACAAGAGACACTTATTGAAGACAGTTTAAAGCACAGATCCAAAGTTCATGCCTATACTACACCACTTTGCCTAAAATTTTAACATCTGCTGTGG